TTTTTTTTTTTTTTTTTTTTGGATATTCATGAAATGTTGAAGGAGAAGATGTATAAATATGGTGAGATTTTTAAGCCTGAGTCTTTGTTTTGAGCCCTAGAGATATTTCTTTTTCATCAAATGTATGCAGTGTCTCAGAATCAAGCTGCTAGATTGTCCTGATTTAACTTTCGTTTTCAGTAAATGAATAATATCCACACCAATAAACTTTAGTTCAGCTTATTAGAAAGAGCAGGAACCTTGGAGTCAAAGTGTTGTCAAACCCCAGTTTTGCCACTTGCTAGCTATTACTCTCTTTAAGTCCTTTTGTCTCTCTGAATCTCAATTTACCATCTGGTAGGAGAAATGTTACATCTATCTCATAGGATTGTCATGATGATGAAGTGCACAAACTGACATAAAGTAGAGGGCCCACCATGTAGCACCAGCTGCCATCAAGTCAACTGCAACTCATGGCAATCACACATATGTCAGAATAGAACTGTGCTTCACAGGGTTTTCAAGGCTGAGTTTTCAGAAGTAGATCACCAGGAATGTATTCCAAGGTACCTTTGGGTGGACTCAAACCTCCAACTTTCAGTTCGTAGTTGAGTGTGTAAACCATTTGCTCCGTCCAGTGACTCCCAATAATTGGTAGCTGTTTAATTATTTTATTATCAAACAGTGTTTTTTGTTTTATCTTGTCATTCTTCAGGAAATATTCATTGGACTTCTCCTAAGTGACAAGTGACACTCCTAAGTGACACTCTTCTAATCAGGAGAAAGCATCTCTCTCTTTCTACCCTCAGCCCTGAGAGGGAGGCAGTGCAGGACACAGCAATTTTCCCCACCTTCCAGATGAGATCATGGAGGAGGCAGAATCATCACCTCAGCCTGATCTCGACTCAGAACGCAGTGCTCTTTTATAACCATGTGTGTTTGTCATGTTCAAACAACATAAATCCATGAAATGTGAAAAGAGAAGACTAGCTTGCTTTTGAGGCCGATACCATCTGAAATCTTTTTTAATCAAAACAAAACCAAACCAACAGTGGTTTGTTAGGCATCTATTAGGCATTTGTGATGAAAACAAAGTCCTTTTCATAGTTTATCACATTTCATCCTCTAAGAAATATACAAAGTCAATATTATCTCCATTTTACAGCATTAGTTCAGAGAGGCTAGGTAGCTTGCCCACACTCACACAGCTAGTTGGAGACAGAATCAGAATTTGTACTTAGGTCTATGCAATTGAAGCACCAACCCTCTCCCTTCTCCAGTCTTTCAGCTTAGCATAATTGTTGATCTCTTATCTCTGTGGGGTGTGGCCATATATCCTGCTTGGTCATTAGGGTCCCCATCTCTTGGGGTGAAGTTCTTGGGTGGTGCAAACTGTTAAGCACTCAAGTACTGACTGAAAGTTCGGAGTTTGAACTCACCCAGTAAGGCCTGGGAAGACAGACCTGGTGACCTGCTTGTGAAAGATCACAGACTTGAAAACCCTTTGGAGGAGTTCTACTCAGAATTGACTAGACAGTAACTGATTTGGTTTTTGGTTTTCTCATGGGAGGACTTCTCCATGTTGAACTGGTGGCCTCCCCTCCCTTTCTGTCTGTGCAAGAACATAGATAACAAGCATTTGATTTTCTACAGTCTGAGTGTTTATGTGGGTGGGTCCCCCACAAGCAGTCTGAAAAACATTAATCTTTCCCTGCACACATACAGGGAGCCTGAAGTCTGGCAGGCTCAAAGGAGAACATTGGAGGAGTGGGTACAACCCTTCAAAACACTTACAGCTCCTTCAGCTTTTTTGTAGTCACATTCCTGCCAGGTTTTGCCACTTTCAAAAGGACAATCACCCTCCTTGATCTGGTACTTGAAGGAATAAAATGTGCCAGAACCATCCTGAAAAAAAGCAATGAACCATATCTTTATTCATCCAGTTGACCCATCAGCATGTAACTGGAGTGGGATCTGGTGTTAAGAAGAGTTGATCTTTATTTGATTCATTACCATCAGGCAAAGGGTTCGTTAAAATTACTGAAAGTTATAAATATTTACTTGGAAAAACTATTTACAATATATTGACAAATGTATTTTTTAAAGGTTAAAAGCAGTTTCCACAGTATTAGTCCAGTTTTTTTTTTTTTTTAAAAAAAAAAAAACAATTCAAATATGTGTGCAATGTCTAAAAGAGTCTGAAAATGTATGCAGCAAGCTGTTAGGTGTTTGTCTCTCAGTGGTGGAATGACAGTAGGCTTTCACTTTCTTCTTTAAACAAACTTACCTGTATTGTCTGACTTTTTTTTTTAAACTAGCATAATTACATTTTTGTCCCTCTTATTGAAGTTTGTCATTCAAACATATACGGTATTATCTTTATAATTAGGAAAAAACAAGAGGTCTTTTTGATTTTTGAAAAAGAAAGTTAATATTTGTCTCTGGATGATGGGATTAATTAAGGGGTTTTAATAAATGTATTTGTTTTGTTTTGTTTTTTTCTTGGAGGTCACAAAATAATAAATGAAAGTTTTAAAGGGCTATTGTGCTGATTTAGGTGAGCTTTCAGATGCAAAATCCTGGGACATCTGCAATGGTAAGGGACCTGAGAGGTGATGTTGTCCAGCCCCTTGTTTAGCCAATGAGAGAAAGGAGGGCCCAGGGGACAGGGCACTGCTAGTCCCATGTCCCTGGTGTCCTGACTTCCAGAGCCACACTCTCTCAAAACCTGCTGGATGGGGAGTTCTGGTAAGAATAGGCAGACAACTACATAGACCCTCTTCAACAAAGAAAAGAGAAACCAATTTTCACAGATACAGAAGATAATCCTGGAGCCCTGAGCTTTGAAAGGAAGGATACAGAAGTGGACTAAACTCCAACTAGTAGAAGAACCTGCATGAATATACTGAATAAGGAGACAAACGGAGCTGTGGACTGTCAGCTAACCTGATGGCACAGACTTGGATGTTTCCAAGTGGTATTAGGACCTAAGAATTAACGTAAAAATCAGCCCTGCTAGCCAGGGACTGCACAGAGGACTGCACTGGTGGCTGGTGAATAAAAGGCGAAACAACAAAGAAGGCAACAAACTGAGCTGTGGACTTTTGGCTGTCCAGAGGGTGCAGCCATTTTGAATGTTTACAAGTGATTTGACCATTTTGGATATTTAAAGCAACAGCATTTGCTCAAATTCCAGGGACCTAAGAATAGGCTCAACTTGCCAAAGATAGCATGGACATACTGGAGGCTAAGGACTAGAAAGGTGCAATATTCCCCTTGTTACTCTTATTCCCATACCCTCTCCTGCACCGAACGGAGGTGCGGCCATTCCTCACTCCCACCCACCTTCTGGGCTGGCAGGAATTCCATCCCAGTCTGTGTGCTCTGATGGAGCCTGTGTGCCCTTCCCTGCCCTGCTCAGATTTGTTTTTGTTTCTTGTTTCTTTTTGCATTGTGTTTCTTTGTTTTAAAATTCTTCTTCTTCAATTTTTTTTCTTCTTCTTAATTTTAACTTTTATTCTTTCTTCTTCCATTCTAGTTTTTGGCTTTTTCTCTCTTCCTTTTTTCTTGGTTCCCATTTTTTTCTTTCATGTGGTTCTTCCCATCTCTTGTTCTTCTTTTTGCATTTTTCCTTCATTATTCCCTTACTCTACCTCTTTTCTCGTATTCTCCCCTCTCCAGATATTGTTTTTTTCTCTCTTTTTCTATTCTTATTTCTTGTGTCTTTTTAAAGTCTTTCTTTACATATTTCATCTCATTTATTGCATTTCCTCTGTTTTTTTTTTTCCTCCATTCTCTTTTTGGTGACTGTTCCTGTGTGTTTATGTGGTATGTATTTTTGTCCTCTTACTTTTACTTTTTTGGTGGTTTTTGATTGTTGTTTTTCTCCAACTGCGCAGGAGATAGCAACAGTGCCCATACAACCCAACCATACACACACCTCCTGTAACCCCACCTACTGAGTGAGGGCCACCACTTGCTTCTGCACCAACTGGCCAATGAAACACAACAGCCAATACAAGCATAACTCACACTTAACTGCTTTTCACAAACAATTAACATAGATCTGTGGAGCCACTCTCATACGTAGCACACTCACCAGGAGGGAGGTGGTGGCTACATAAGTGCTGCCAATGAGTGAGTAGAGGAGCACAATAACCTGCTTACTCAAATACATCCAAACAAAACAAAGGAAACAAAAATTTTGGGCAAATCACTCCAAAACACAATCACCAATTAAATATAAATACAACAGTGTCACAATGTCTTGGAGACAACAGACCATCACAATCCACACAAAGAACCAAGATAAAGCAGTAGACAGCTTGGGGGGCAGGAGTGCATGGGAAGGAAAGACACAGAGAAGAGGTAACTATGGGAAGGAAGTGTGAAGAGAACTGTTGCATTGTGGGAAATTGCAGTCAATGTCATGGGACAAAGTGTATGTGACCTTCTGTATGGAAAATGAATATCCTCTGTAAATTTTCACCCAAATCACAATAAAAACTTTTTTTTTTTTTAAAAGATAAAGCAGTAGAAACAAGGGACCAGGATATAAACCCAGAACACATCCCTGAGGAGGAAGCACCATTGCAATGCCCTGATAATGAATTCAAAAGA